TTTTACTCAGTTACTCTCTACGTGTGAGAAAAGACCCAACCAACTCCGATGGTGAACGCCGTGAAGGTATTCAAGAAAACCGCCCCTAATGGTACGTCTCATCTCGACTTTTTGTGGTTTATTATTAGAAATACGCTGCTAGAATATCTATAAGTACTGCTGTTCTAACTTAGTATTGTTTTTCATTTCTATAACTCTTGTTGTGGAGAACTTATGGTATACCAAACACGTATTTGATAAACCATACTTGCTTCTCTTGCAGGTAAGATCACCGTCTACCTAGGTCGCCGCGATTTCGTGGACAACACCACCTCGACCGAACCTGTTGATGGAGTCATAGTCTGCGACAATGACTACCTCCGGGGCCGCAAGGTCTTCGCCGCCGTGAGTACTTCTTTTAAGCTCTTTTTGGGTGAAAAGAAATTGAAGGGAAGTCTGTTTATTGAGCCTTAGTGTGATTGAGTCAGACCAGTCTACCCTGAAGACTATAATTAATACTTTCTTTGCGATAACGACTCATCGCTTTTACTCTTTGACCGACATAGGTCACGGTCACGTACCGTTACGGCCGCGAGGAGGATGAGGTCATGGGCCTTAACTTCAGCAAGGAGATGCAGCTCGCCACCCAGCAGGTGTACCCGAGCTCCGACTCCCGCGAGCCCACGGCCGTCCAGGAGCGCCTCGTGAAGAAGCTCGGCGCCAACGCCTACCCCTTCGCCGTGACGCTCCCCGAGACCGCCCCCTGCTCCGTCCAGCTCCACTCGGGCGACGATGAGACGGTGAGGAGGCGCTCAGTGTGTCATGCAACATGCGGTTTTCTGCTGAAAATAGCTGGTTTGAAGAATAGGAACAGTAGTATCCTATCCCTGGATAATTTGCTGCTTATCTTTATACAGCAGTACTTTGCCTATGTTTGCACATCATTTCAATGTCGCAAATTATATAGGTAATATCATAACCTTTGACATTTGTACGCAGAGCAAGCCCATGGGTGTCATTTATGAGCTCCGCGTCTTCGTGGGCGATCACTCCAACGAGAAGCCCCACAAGCGCAACTCCGTCGCCCTCGCCGTCAGGAAGGTGCAGTTCTCTCCCGTGGCCGGCAACAAGCGCCAGCCCAGCACCCTCGTGTCCAAGGGCTTCGCTCTGTCCTCCGGAAAGCTCAACATGGAGGTGACTCTCGACAAGGAGCTCTACTACCATGGCGAGCAGGTCAACGCTACCATCAACATCAACAACGGTAGCAAGAAGACCGTCAAGAACATCAAGTGCTCCATCATCCAGCACGTTGAGGTCACCATGACCAGCAACCAGTTCTCGCGTGAAGTAAGCGCTCGCTCCGAGGAAATCAGGGCTTATGCACATTTAGTCCTTCGCTAAGTGGAAGGAATTTGCTATACAAATTTAAGTACGTATAACTGTACTTTTTGTATTCCCTTGGTTATTAAAGTCCTGTTGCATCTTCCCGTAGGTGGCATCTCTGGAGTCGAAGGAGGGCTGCCCCATCACCCCAGGCTGCAACCTCCAGAAGAGCTTCAACATGACGCCTCTTGCCTCCTCCAACAAGAGCAAGTCAGGCATTGCTCTCGACGGCAAGCTGAAGGTAAAAAATATATGTCTGCTGAGTATTCCAATATTTCCCCTTTCCAAAGTGCATGACATTTCCCGACCGGTTCCACGCAAAAAGCCACGGGATCCGATATAAGTGCCGAATCTCTTTAACCACCGATCGTCCTCTAGGACACGGACGCCAACCTGGCCTCCTCCACCGTCGTGGCCGCTGGCAAGAACGTCAACGACGCCTGCGGTATCATCGTGTCCTACTCCATGCGCGTCAAGCTCAACTGCGGTGCTATCGGCGGCGACCTGACTGCCGACCTGCCCTTCAAGCTCATGCACCCTGTGGCTGGTGAGTAGGCCACGCCCTCGCTCTCCCCTTCTACTAAGATCCCATTATATCAGAATTCCGGAGCCAATGCAGATTTCCCTTTTTAATTCATATATTTCCCAAGAAATGCTATCCTACATCTGATGTTATATATTCCTAATGTACGTCTGACATTTTAAAAAAATCTTAATGTTGCCTATGTGCGTGCAGGTGGCTCAACCAAGGCTCCTTCTGACACCACCTACACGGGCGGCGAGGACCTGGAGTTCGAGGACTTCGCCCGCCTCCGCCGCGGCGCCTCCGTCGACCAGCCCTAGACGGCGCTCGGCTCCTCAGCCATATGTAACACACAGTATACGAGCAATCGGAAATGCCTGCCTAAAAGACAGCTAGAATGGGTTCCTAAGCTAGGCTATATTTGGAATTTCACTCATATTTTTTCCCTTTGCCGGACCATGAAATGATAGTTTCTGTCTCCGATATGATAATGTCCTGAAATATAAATATATATAAATATTGTATTCCGTGAATCAATCAATGTGTATATGCATATATAAAGATAACTTAGTTGTCCAGTTATAATACAATAGTGTAGTATGAGCATCAACGACGTCTTATTTATATCCCGTCTTAATCTTATATTTAAGACAAAATAATTTCAATCTTATGATGTCAGTGACATGACACGACCTTTTTCTGCCAGGTCTTTTTTTTTCCTATTATGAATTTGTATTACTTATTTTATCGTTTTATATCTTTTCCTTCTATCCTCTCTATCTTTTTCTCTGTCTCTCTCTTTCTCTCTGTCTCGCTCCTTCTCCTTATTATTGGAGTCTTTCTTGTCCTGTGTTTTATTTTTATTTTCATTGATGTACGTATATTTTTTCCTTATTTTGTATTCTTTTGGTGTTTTAGTTTTTTTTTCTGTGTATATTTCATTTTGTTATGTTTTAACATGTATTCTGATAGAATTGGATTTTATTGTAATTTATTCTGGAAACGATTTGTTTTTGTGACGTCACGAGTCTATGACAACCTGCGCTCCATGATAATAAACTGTGTCAACAAATTCTGTGTCTTTTAGATTACCCTTTTCTCTGCTGAACATCAAAGGTTGTACCAGCCCATTCCTGTTACTTGCCTAGGTTGTATTTATGCTGGACGTTAAGTGTGTTAATCAATGAGGCATTGGTTACTTATAAGTATAACAGTATTGTAGTAGCACACGCACTACTTTCTTGAGCGCCATCTTCTGAGTTACATGGTTTGTTTACATTGACTTAGGCGATAAGCGAAGAATGGGATTTAGTCTGCGAGCGACATGTTTCGGCGCCTTTATTCTAATTTTATGACGGAATTATGTCTTTCCGCGCTACAAATTTGATTTCCCTGATTAGTTTGCATGTTGTGCTTCCATTTTAGTTGCATTTCATGTTTGTTGACTGAATTCTATATCCTCAACATTTACCACAGTATTCAGCAGCTGTCATGTTGTCACGATTTACATGCTTTTTTTTTATTGCTAAGCCTCTTCAAGGAAGTATTCCCTTCACTGCTTTTATTTGATCTTATTTATCTCTTTTAAACAATGTATGTTGTTTAATCCAATGCCCATTATTTTATTTTATTTTACTGTTTTTACGTTTCCTTTATCTGTGTTTTGCGTCTTTCACCTCTGCTTTAACTGCTTTATTGCTTTTACTTCTTTTTTAGCTCCTTCATCTCTTACTGAATCTTTTCTTTTACGATTTCAGTTACGTTTTATTACTGTTTTTAATTACTACTTACCTGGTTTCGTTCTTTTTTCTGCCTTTATTCAAGTTCGCTTTTATACGTGCCTTCGTATTTTAGAGCTGTTTTATTCCTGCCTTTAGTTTTCTCTGCTGTTTTTACCTATATTAGCCGTGTTTTACCTTCTTATTTTCGTACTATCCCTACTTCTACTACTACTGCCCCTACTTCCGCTTCTTCTTCACTGCTAATACTTCGCCATCCCTTTTTTTTTTGGCTATTTTATGGTATATGTATGAAAAGGACTCTATTGTCTTCAAACACTGCCCATTTAATAGCATATGTGGAAGCAATAGTTGACCTATTTCCACATAACCTGTAAGTTTGCCCATTGCTTTCTTTCAATTTCCTCTTATTGTGTATATTTCTCTCTCTTTCTCTCTCTCGCTCTCTGTCTCTCTCAAGGAGTGAACGGGAACCCCTTTGTTCCTTTGTTCTGCCTCATAGGAGAATTTCGGGCTCCTCTTTCACAGTTGACATCTGGCCATAAGTTAGATGTGAACCTTGCAATATATGCACACACACGCACACAAACAAAAACTGCACATACTCACACACACACACACACACGGAGGTCCCCGTGACCGACGGGGAGGACTCGACGGAGGTCCCTGTGGCCGACGGGGAGGACTCGACGCACGTCCCTGTGGCCGACTGGGAGGACTCGACGCACGTCCCTGTGGCCGACGGGGAGGACTCGACGGAGGTCCCTGTGGCCGACGGGGAGGACTCGACGGAGGTCCCTGTGGCCGACGGGGAGGACTCGACGCAGGTCCCTGTGGCCGACGGTCAGGACTCGACGGCCGGCGGGGAGGACTCGACGGAGGTCCCTGTGGCCGACGGGGAGGACTCGACGGAGGTCCCTGTGGCCGACGGGGAGGACTCGACGGAGGTCCCTGTGGCCGACGGGGAGGACCCGACGGAGGTCCCTGGGTCCGACGGGGAGGACTAGACGGAGTTCCCTGTGACCGCCGGACTTACGTAATAACTTCGTATAGCAAACATTATACGAAGTTATACGACACAGGGACCTCCGTCCAGTCCTCCCCGTCGGACCCAGGGACCTCCGTCCAGTCGTCCCCGTCGGCCACAAGGACCTCCGTCGAGTTTTCCCCGCCGGCCACAGGGACTTCCGCCGAGTCCTCCCCGCCGGCTACAGGGACCTCCGTCGAGTCCTCCCCGACGGCCGTCGAGTCCTGACCGTCGGCCACAGGGACCTCCGTCGAGTCCTCCCCGCCGGCCGTCGAGTCCTGACCGTCGGCCACAGGGACCTGCGTCGAGTCCTCCCCGTCGGCCACAGGGACCTCCGTCGAGTCCTCCC